GTTGACTAACCAACTCCTGCCTCCCATTCTACTTTAGCTGTTTTGCTACTAGTTTGCTTTTTTTTTTTTTTAACAACTAACGTTTAAACGTTCCTATTTTTGTTTTAGTGTCGTTTTAGCGACACATTTAAAAAAGTGCAAATTTTATCTATGGATTGCATAGAAAATAACCTTTTTGAAAGAAAATACTGCCAAGAGAAAGCAGAAAATAGGGGAATAAGTGTCTTTTAACGGCAATAATTTATTGAAAGCTCTCATCCAAACAGTGGCAACCGCTTACACGTTTCAGCCTAAATGGCTTTAGTCATACGCAAAGACAATACTGCCAAGAAAAAGCCCCGTTTGTGCCACAAAAACGATATATATACACTGATCAGCCATAATAATATGACCACCCACCTAATATTAAGTAGGTCCCTCTACTGCCACCAAAACAGCCCTGACCTGCTGAGGTGTTGACTCCACTAGACCCCTGAAGGTATCCTGTGGTATCTGGCACTAAGCCGTCAGTAGAAGATCTTTTAAGTCTTGTAAATTGAGATGTGGGGGCTTCATGGATCAGACTCGTTTTTCCAGGGATGCTTGATTGAACTGAGATCTGGAGTATTTGTAGGCCAAGTTAACACCTCAAACTAGTTGTGTTCCTCAAACCATTCTTGAACAATTTTTGCAGTGTGGAAGAGCTCATTAGCCTGCTGAAAGAGGTTACTGGCATCAGGGAAAACCATTTCCATGAAGGGGTGTAGTGGGTCATAAAGAATGTTTTTAGGTAGGTGGTACATGTAAAATAAACATCCACATGACTGGCAGGACCCAAGATTTCCCAGCAGAATATTGCCCAAAGCAACACACTGCTTCTGCCAGCTTGCCCTCTTCCCATACTGCATCCTGGTACCATCTCTTTCCTAGGTAAGCGACACATGCACCTGGCCATCTAGGCAATCTAAATTAAAATGTGATTCATCAGTCCAGCCCACCTTTTTCCATTGCTCCCTTGTCCAGTTCTGAAGCTCACAAGCCTATTGTAGGCACAGTTTTGGAGTTGCTCTGACCCAGTTGTCTAGCCATCACAATTTGGCCCTTGTCGAAGTCGCTCAAATCCTTACGCTTGCCCTTTTCTTTCTACTTCTAACACACCAGCTTCAGGAACAAAATGTTCACTTGCTGCCCAATATATCCCACCCACTTGCAAGTGCCATTATAATGAGAATCAATTACATTCACTTCACCTCTGAGCGGTCCTAATGTTATGGCTGATCGGTCTATATTACTTTCTTACCTAAAGATATTGCCAAATTAATAGGCCCATAGCTGAAATGTTAAAATTGTTTTGATCCAAAAGATGTATACAAAGTGAGAAATAACAGGGTTGAACGAAAGCCTCCCATTAAAGAGATGCTGTATACTTCTTTTTCCAGGGGTACTGGTCTTAAAATTCTGCCGTGTGACAGATCCCTGGCACTACAGGTACCATTACAGGACAGCTGTAAAGAATCTGTAAAGTATTACAGGACAGCTGTCACCACAGGATGTACAAGCCAGAGGGAGGAAGCACAGCATGTAGCGGGAAAGAAGGTATATCCCACCATGTGGGATATGCAACATGGTGGATTTTTGAAAATATGGGCTGTCAAAGCAAAGTAAAGTGGCATTTTGTATTTTTTTTTAAAAGGTGACATTAGTTTGATTTGACCCTATAGCGAAAGGTTCACCTTAACAATGATTTGACCCTATAGCGAAAGGTTCACCTTAACAATGTGTGTTAATGTTTTTGTGTATATATCTGTACAAGCGGGTTGCCATATTTAGGAATTGCAACCACAGGCTCAGTTTTCTACTTTGCAGTGGTACACAGTAGTTCTACTTACCGAAATCTCAGCCTCCGAAACATATTGGGCAAAAATTGCACTTTTGGAAAAATGCCTAAAGAGCCGTGCGCATCCATAGTTTCTCTCCTCCCCGCTGTGCGCTGCTCTGTGTCCCCTCTAACACAGTGCAGCGTCCAGCGGGGAGCAGAGAAACTGTCAGAGGAGGCCAAGCGATGTGGGGGAGGAGAGCGCTGTGAACACCCAACGTGTCACAGGAGGCCGGGCTCTCTTCCTGCAACGCCCCGCTCAGCCTCCTCTGACCAATGAGGACGGAGAACGGCGGTGTGGGGGCAGAGACAGACATGCGCTGTCACAAGAGGCTGAGTCGGCGGTGAGGGGGAGGAGTCAGCTGTCAAAATAGACCAAACTCTCCTCCCCGCACCGCCGACTCAGCTGTGACAGCGAGTCAGGAAAGAGCTGATCGCTGACTGCTTGTAAATAACTGGACATGGTATGAGTTACTATGTACCAGTGATTAATAAATATGAAGTAATCTACATCGCTTCCTGTTCATTCATAATTGTGTACATAGTAACTCAAACTATGGCCACAAGTTATGAATGAACAGGAACACTCAGTACAGTATAGAGGTTTCCTGTTCATTCAATGCTGTGGCTGTAGAAAACAAAATTGTGGACCGTGTCCTCGATCCCTTTTTTCTATTTTAAAAGGGAAATATCAGGGGTTTGTGTAGACCCCTAATATTTCACTGAAGCCACAACAGTAAAGTTAATAAAATATGAAATAAATAAAATATTAAATACATTTTAAAAAGTTTATAAAAAAATTAAATATTTTTGGTTTTAACCTGACATTTGTAAAAAAAAATTCGGTTTCAAAATGTTCATTTCGGTGCACTCTAGTTCTACTACTACTCCACAATGCAAGTCTCTAGGTAGGTCAGCTGACTGAAAAACAAATTGCTGCATTCGTGTTTAATTGAATCTGCCTAGAGTACAGCGTTAAGCAATTAAGCAGATTAATAGCAGCAGTTAATTTGTAGATTAGCCATTAGGGGCAGTCTTTTCTTACATTACAATAAAAAAACATGCAACAAAAAACTAAAGTATGTAGTAAAGGGAAAAAAATACTTAAAAAAAAAGGTAAACATTTCAACAGTGCTTTAAAATTTACTCAAAACATACTAGGTTTTCCTTGCAAACTTACACCAGAAGCTTGAAACCAGTACATAGCACGTCTGTCAGCTATAAATCACTGAGACTCACAATAGTCACAAAGCATAAAATGATTATGTGCTGGGCTGAGGGGAAAGCTGCTAAATCCCCACAATTAATTATACCCACAATATAGATGCCTTCACAGTACACTGGTAACAGGTTCCCTTTAATAAGTTAACTAAGGACAAACAAGTATATGGGAGCCCCAGGTCATACCTAGCTTTACATTATTTGACAAAAGCAAGCACTTGGCATATTTACTTTGTGAATGCCCACAAAATTTGATTTCAAACTTTACAAAAAAAACAAAACCTGCATGCTGATTGATCGTCATTCAGTGTACAATTGAAGCCGACATAGAGTCTAAGGGAGCTTTATTGTCTGGCTGTTGCTAGAAGATGGGCAGGGAATCACCTAAAATAAACTTTTAAAATCAAACATTACTCCACCCTAAAATAACACCAAACCCAGCTTTACCTGAGCCAGCAAAGGATAAGTTATGGTGTGGTGCAGTGCATGCTAAAGTATGATGCAACAACCTTCTTTTAATAATTCAATGGAAAATCAGATGCGAAGCACAAGCCAATTTCCTTTTTAAAGTTAAACTCCAGGAGGATATAAAACTATTTATGCAGTTATGTATTCATTAAAAAAAAAAAATATTTTTAAAAGAAGCTGGTGTAAGTATCTGAATTTGATTTAGTCTCTCTTGTATCCCTCTGAAACAGCAGCAGATCAAAAGGGGGTGGGGGGGTCGAAATCCATGGTGTGCCCTCGACATATGTTCTTGTTGGCCCAAATTCCAGACTCCCTAACTGACTCTCTCAGGTAAGGTCCCAGGCGTCTTACACAATGGGGAAGCCAGGTAAAGGCAGTAAGGTGGACATAAGGGTCAGTTCTGTGAGCAGGGTGAGAGAACTGTGCTGCAAGGACATCTGAAGAGTTAGGTCCATACTAGGGACTGATCCTCGCCAGCCTTATAAGTCAAGACGTCCCTCAGGAGAGGTATAAGGCTGAGGAGGATCAAGCACCGTAAGGGGTGCAAACATCTGTGATGGAAAAAGGTCTCCACTGCTGAGAGTTGAGCAAGTTCAAAACATCCCCAAGGATAGGCACCCACCAGAGTAGGAATCAGAGACCCCAGGGTGCGCGGAAACCAACAAACCCAGGAAGATACACAATGTAGTACAGTAATACCAGAAGGGTAAGAAGGGGCAGCTGAAGGAGGTGCCTCATGTAAGGGTCTAGAATGAGAGCTACAGGGGAAGCCTGAACTTTAAACTGGAATAGTAGGTTCCCAAATTACAAAAAAGTGAGGCAACACCTTTGCAGAAGGCTAAGCAGAGGGCTTCTGGATTTGAGATCTGTGGCTTGAGTAAAAGGTAGACTCTTCCCACCTATGAGTTACTACTGTATTAGTAAATGAAGACTGGGGTTCCTTCACTCTGTATACAGATCTCCTGCGCTGAGGCAGGCAAAGTCTGACCCAAAACTAGTCTTGGGAAAAGCACGCTCAAGGGCAGGTCTAAAGAGAGCCCCTTTCCTTAACCTCTTGCCATCCGCCCGTAGTAAAAAAACGGACGGACGGCACTGCAGCATCTGCGGGTTGCCGTCTCCAGACGGCAATTTTTTTCTGCTCGCGCGCGCCCCCTAGCACGCGGATGTCAACTGGTTAATGGGAAAGGGAGTCAGATGTTCCTTGGGTGTATTCTCAACGTCTCTACGACATCTAGCCAAAGTGCCCTATGCTTATGAACCAATATTACCACCATGCGAGGCACAAGTTTAGATGCTTGCAAGACATTATTATAGTTAAAAAGGTCAGAGCTCCACATATTTGTTCTAAATGCCCATGGATATGAGGGTTTGTCCTCAAAATGGAGGAGTCCACATTAATGGATAGCGACATAGTTTCACAAATCAAAGTCACTGCCAACAGAGGACAAAGTCAATCCAGGAAATTCAAACAGACTTAAGCATGGTGTCTGTCAGTGAAATCCCTAAAAGGTAAGAGCACCATCAACCCGTTTGTTGGAATGCTTGTTAAGACTGGAGTATCTATAGTGGGCATAGACCACTATAGAATAAATTCCCTTTCAAAGAGAAAAAGCTCCTTCACATTGTCAGGAGGGCCCATGAGTCTATTTTGTTTCCAGTCTTCGAAGAGGAAAGTCTTAAATAGGGAGTGTATAACATACTGCTTTAATCAGATTTCAAACAGCTTCTTGTAAAACCGAGTCATATGGAATTTGCTCATATGCAGTGTCTACAGGTGTAGACTGATAGGACTCAGAATCCGAGATGATATTAGGGACTTCAGGCATACTTGAGATGCAAAGCCAGTAGGGTCAAAATTAGATTCTTTTCGCCGATGGCACTGGAGCAGAGCATGCTTAGAGTTTTTGCAAAAACAGATTGCTCCATTAATTGTGCACAAACAAAACGGGATCCTGGTGGACACCTCACCCACCAGAGCTATAGCAGCTTCCAAAGAGGGTGACTCTATATTGAAGAGGGGGGGGGGGGGGGCGGGTGTGTCACAGGATCTAGAATTTAGAAAATAGAAGCAGTAGAGGAATATGGGCTGAGGTCACCCACTACAGCAGGACAGTCCTCTTTCGATAAGATGGTAGAGCATTAATTTAAAATTGGTGCAGAACAGTACCAAACTGTGAGTTAGCTCCCGGTGCTTCAGACTGACTGGCAATACCCTCTATGTTAGTCCTCAGAGACTGAATCACACAAGAGGATGCTCCAAAGCTCTGGAGCTGGAGAGAGGTGGGTGGCTAACTAACGCAGTACACACAGGTCTGGAAAGCACTACACTGCAGAGCCCAATGCTTAGAGGTCACATTCTAGGCTAGCCCTAAAATCCTCCAATCCAAAGATGCCCAGATATGGCCTCCAAATCTTGTGCTGAGAATATGTTTATCCAGTGATTCTGAAGTCTTGATTGAATGCACCCAAAAAAAAAAATATCTATGGTGTGCCGAGGCTTGCAAAAATAAAAAGGTAGACTTTCTCAGCAGAGCTGAGAAAATGCATCCAACCTCCTAGGACACTAGCAAAAACTAAAGCATTATGAAAGCATGGTTGTACAGGAGCTGACTTAACTTTGCTTGCCAGCGTCCCAACCTCCTCTAGGAGGCAGTATAACCAGACTGTTTAAGAACTACATTTTGAGGCAACAGGCCAAAGCCACACAATGATCCTTCTGTTGGGTGAAAACCCAAATAGAAAGACCAAGAGACTTCTAAGTATATGCCAACTTGGTATAGAGGTATAAGCCACTGAATTACAACTGACATATTTAACTCAACAGTGCCAAAAAGGACTCCATCAAAAAGTTAACACACTAAGCAAATAGGAAAATCTTAACAGATTGATTAATAGAACCTCAGCTCAGAGATGCAATATATAATTCCACTCCCCTCTTCCAACCAATACCTTTCATAGGTCTACAGGTAGCATACAACCAAGAATACCAACACTTTATCAGCGGTTCACTTTAACAAGACAATATGCTACACATGATGTTCATGCTAGAACTAAATAAGTGTTGGTGCAATCCTCACCATTTCATATACACTTTGGTAGAAATAAACTATTCTACAGTTTAGATAAAGCCAAAAAGCAACGAACACTTACTTCTAATAGGGCTTTCCTGTCTGTAACTTTCCCAGAGCCAAGTAGCTTCATTACATTTTTTGCACCTTCAGCCACGGCAAATTCTATCCTGAAGTGGTGTCGCAATTCTTCCATTCGGAGCTCAAGTGGACTAATCACAGGTTTTGCTGCAAGACAGACACACACATGAAGTGTCTCTCATAATTCAACATCAAGCATTAGCTGCTCCTCGAAGGGTATTCGAATGTGCCAAAGAAAGGCAATGAGAAAAAAGGTACTTGCGTTTGTACCATATACAGGACAGTAAACTCACATAATCCCTATAAATGCTATATCCAGGGTTAAAAAACAACAAAAGCAAAAACAAGGTTCTGCTTTGAGTATGTTAAAGGAGAACTATGAGGTGAGTGATTTTCACTTATCCTCATAGTTCAAGTCGACATGTGACAATGAAACTGTCACACGTCGGCTCAACAGATCGGGAAGTGAGCGTCGCTCGTTCACTTCTCGATCCTGTCCCTTCAGAGAGCAGCGACAGTCACTCACGGCTCCCTGCAGGGATTCCCTCCCCGATCCTCCAGCGCTGACTGGAGGAACGAACAGGGGCAGGTACAGATGGATCTGTCTCTAGATAGGCAGAGCCAGCTGTCAATCACGCAGCTGGGTGGATCTTGACAGTAATGTCAGGATCCGTCCCTGCTGCGGCAGTCTCAGTATACCGCGAGCTGGAGCTTGCGGTATACTGAGCTTTAGGTCACGGGAGGATGCTAGTTTATGTCCTCCCATGACCCTGAGGAGAACTATGGGGAAAAACACTTACCCCATAGTTCTCCTTTAACCCCTTCACGACCTAAGATGGTATAATTCAGTAATGGGTCTTTAAGGGGTTAAACAGACTCAAGCCGCCGGAACTTTGTTGATGTTTGTAGGCTTTACAGTAGAAGCAATTCTGGCGACTCAGCTGTCGACAGATCACTTCTACAGACTGGTAAAATTCTAACGACAATATTTACGCGCATCTCTGAAATGATGACCTGTAGGGGCTTTAAAGCGTCATCTATGGACTTTTTGGGGTACTGAATTTTGTAGCCGTTTCACAAAACGCACACAATTTTGAACCTAGGTTTGTTCAGTATCTATTGACATGTTGTAAGCTCATGTTTTATACACTGAGTGGCCAGATTATTATGACCACCCCCATCAGTACTTTGTTGGGCCACGAGATGACTTTGTTGGGCCGCCTCGTGACTCCACGAGATGTTGAAAGGTGATGTGAGGAATCTGACACTGCACTGTTGCCCTTCTGTTGTCTTGTACCAGTCTTGCCACTCTCCGTTCTGCCCTAACATTGACTAGTCGCTGATGGCCACAATTCGCACGTTCAGACCCAGATTTTCGGCTGACAGTCCAGTCTTTAAACACTTTAACAACAGCTGCTCTTGAACATTTAACAAATTCTGCTGTTTTGCTGATACTCGCTCCATGGCTCTGAGCGCCAACAATCATCCCACGTTCAAAGGCTGTTAAATTGTGTTGTTTACCCATATCTTCAGAACAAAATCACTTCTACTGTCGTGGTAAACAACCTGCTTCCCTATTTATAATGGTCCGGCCCTCTAGCAACTTCAGTGCAAAATTATAGCTAATTTGCTTACAAACCTCAGGTGGTCATAATAATCTGGCCACTCAGTGTATATTATTTTACATATATAGTGTTTTGGGGCACTAAATTCCACTTAAGGGCATTTTTAACAAAAATTTTGGGTTTAATCATAAGTTGCGCTAATGTCATGCAACATAAAAATTTTAAACTGCCACCATTTTATTCTACAGGTTCTTGGCTTTCAGAAAAAAATATAACATTTGGAGGTTTTAAGTAATTTGCAGGGCTAAAATGTGTATTATATAATGTAAACAAAAAGCGGAAGAAAAAAAAAAGCCTTGGTCCTTAAGGGGTTAAACTATCCATTTATGTCCGGAGTCAACTACAAATATACACTATATGCTATATGCTAACATTTAGAGAAATATTTTAAAATGTTGCTTATAAGCTCTTGTATTCCTGCTGCAGAGTAGCCATGAGCAACCATTAGTTGGAGCACTGCTTCCTGTTACAATTATATTTCTAATATACATCAACTTACAACTTTGATACCAAGCTTATGCTGTGGCAATACGATTGCTGTACAGAAAGGATGTGGAACTTTTTTTTATTATTTACCATTATCGAAGGACATTTCATTGGTTTGCTGCATTGCCTGAAGAATCTGCATACGTATTACTTCTATTTTTGTTTTGCTGTCTTGTAGCATTTGTTGGGCAGTTCCAAGCAGCTTCCTATCCTGCAAAAACAAGTGATAAGCATAATTAAAAGGCAGGTAAAAAGAAAAAAAAAAAGTGTTTATACATGTGCTAAGTTCAAAACAGGAGATCATGAACTCTACAAGCAGTGCTACCTGGTTACCATACAACGGACCGAAGGTAGCCACAGAGGCTGCTTGAGTACTTGAACCCACAATGATACATTATGCACTCTGGTACAACACGCAGGTTGTGTGCCATACACCTTTTCTATACTAAAGAAATACCTAGGCTTTCACTCACGTCAAAGTAAAATTATTAGAGCTAAAAAGGTCCCTACTATATTGACCTTATAATCAAATTTCCAAAAGCACCAGTCACAACATATACTATATATGTATTAGTCTGTGACCATGTTCTAAATTACCTTGCAGAATACCTATAACATGTATTGGACTGCCTATAATAAAACGGTATAAATGTATGAAGACAACAATACATAAAAGGGATAAGACCCACAAACAAATACGGGTAAACTTTATGAGCCATATAAAGCACTGAACATTAGGTGGCCCAATTCACTACATTTAGCGGCTTCTTTACCCTCACCTGCTTTATTAAAAAGCCAACTGAACAGGTCAATAAAATATCCGATCTGAGGCTCTAGGCTGCACCATTTAGTGCACAGGTCTCTCACCACAAAGACAAAAAAAAAAAAGTTAAATAACCTTAGGCCTACTCATGACGACAACCCCCTTTAACATTGATACCTAATCTCTCAAAACTAAACGGAAACATTTTATCTGGGGAGAGCAATCAAAAACACAAAATGTACGTGGCCGCAGTAGAATTCTATCAGTTACTTTATGCAAAGAGAATTGCAATGGAGAAATATGTTCTCCTTTCTGGAGGCCCAAGGAATACCTAAATTCCTTAAACCTCTACTTACTTTTGAGGGACCATTAGAATAGGTCTGTATCATGTTCTCTGCTCCCTGTTTGACTTTCAGCTCAATGTCTAACTGCTTCTGCAAAGCCATGAGCCTTCCATTGTGCGCTGATGAGCCCGAGTCACTTTTCGGAGTGTCTGGTGTCTTGGGACAATCTGGAAATGTAAAAAATGTTTTGCTGATTACAATGACAATGTTTACAGATTCATTGTTGAATGTTATTGTTGTGGCAAACCCAACAGGCAATAAAAAGGTTAATAAATTAACTTGTGGGTGAAAGAATAAAAGAAAGAAAATGTGAAAGAAAACCCAGTTAGCAGAGAGTAAACACGTTCAATGACGTGTGGCATTATATGTCCTTTGAGAGCCAGTTGCTCCACTTAAAGCAACTTTACCAGAAGTAAGAAAGAGAAAGCCAAAAGCAATGAATAGAAAGTTAAACAAGCAGCAGGCTGCAGACCAGCTTATTCAGAGTAAAGGTAAGCTCTGTCTTGTTCAAAAGGTAAGCTGAAGGTCAATTAGCGGGCAGGCAACTGTTAATAAAAAAAAATGTGAAAACATAAAACCAATGACAGTCAAGCAAACACAGAACAGTACATCACGCAGCTTCAAAATAACAGACAACAGCATGAGCCTGGTACACACTTGGGATACACAAACACATTTGTAAATTGACTTGTACAGTGCAGAGATCAGATTTAACAAAAGGCATGACTGTTCACTTACTAAAATCATAAATGAATGTCACTTGAAAAGATGTACCTGTTCCTATAGAGATTCATTTGTAGCACTTTATTTCCACTAGCAGCATAGTGAAGAGCTAAGGTGAGGGCAGACTGGCCTCATGTGTTTAGGAACAAATTTGTCAATCTGAACATTAACCCCTTCATGACTGCGCTTTTTTCAGTTTCTGCTCGTTAATGACTGTTGTGCTTTTTACATTTTTGCTGTGTGATTCTTCCACGGCAGTAATATACTGCCATGGATGCCATAACTCTCTTACTATGTTACTAAGTGCACCCACACATATTATATATTGTTTTTTAGAGGACAGCTAGGGCTATATATTTATATTACATATGTGCGCCTAACGCCTCACTTAGTATGAACAAATAAAAATAGACAAACAAACACTTACTCCCCAGTTTTTTTTGGTTTTTTTAAATGGCACAGCTAAAAAAAAAAAGAAAAATCCTTAAAATAAATTAATTTATTTTGTCCTTTTTTGGAAACGCCCCATATCCCTAGGATTTCAGAAATGTTTCTGTACTTCTCAGCCTAAAACTAAAAGCTAACATTTTATTTTCTCTAAAAACTAACAGTGATCACCAGGTTGTGTGGCCCACAATGTCAGTGTCATTAAGTGTCAGACTTCGGGACAGCAACATTCTTTGAACAATGCAGTCATGAGGGGGTTACATTTAAAAACATTAACCCCTTAGGGAGAAAAACAAATCTGCAGCTCAGCGGCAGATTGATAGTAAGGGGTTAATTTTTAAAAATAATACTTATAATATAAAAATATATTTATATATGATATTGTCTGCGTTACGTTCCAATGTGAACACAAAACAATTAAGCGCTCCCAGACTATCGGAAGCCTTGAAAAATTGTTTCAAAGAAATATATTGTTACATATTTCTGTGCTGAAGAATGTAACAAACAGCCTGTACACATTGGGAAGTCCAGATCTCGACAGAGCTGTCAAAACTGAAATAGCAGAGTGGTGCGCATTTATTGCAAGGAAAAAGTTGACATATACCCTATTGATTCATATGAGATAAATAAAATGCTCGGCTCAACTTTAAACACTATTATAAATTGTACACAAACATATATTGATAGCAGATAAATGATACATCAGCTTCAATGAGATCAGGAGGCAATTTGATGTGCCCGAGATAAAACTGGATCTGCTGTATGCCAATAGGTCTGTCATTGGGAAGCACCATTCCATCAACCAGCCAATATGTGCAGGGGAGAGAAGTTACCATAAGCTGGAGGTTTCCAGCTTTTTGTACCATACACAAAAATCAATACCCAACGTTTCCCTAGTTGCAAATTTAAAAATGAGTGACATCAGAAGATAGCAGATTTGCTGCCATTTTACTAAGGTGGTACAGCCATAGCCTCTAGAGACTGTTACTCACATATGATCTAACACTTAGTGGGACACTAGGAAAAAAAAAATGCCTTGACATCCATGTTTATTTTAAGTAAGGTAATCTGCAGGGAAGTAAGACTCTGGAACCAAACTCACCAATCTATGGTCTATGATACGGCAAAAAACTGTGTAAAGCAAATGTGAGTAGACCGATTCCTATTTATACATTTCATGCAAATGGAACATAATACACACAGCATGAAAGAATTTAACTTCATCACTCATGGTCAAAGACTGACAAACATTTAAATAGGCAGTGCAGGCCAAAGGAGCCTTTGTTAAAGGAGGCTGGACAAATCTCTCCCAGAGCTAGATTTAAAAAGCTAGGAGCCAGCACTGCAATAAGGTGAGAGCAGCTAAAATGTACTGGATGTTGTGGGTGGCCAAAGGGACATGGTTACATATGGTCTAAGCCTATCAAGTTGGGAATGGGGCAAACATGTTTGATCTCAGGATGCCCAATCTTGAAGGGGCACAAGGTAGGACCGTTCATGAAGGGGAAGCATAGGGTGGGTACAAGGACGATTATGGTACATAGAAGGGGGAGATGATGATTATGGGGGCACATAGGGTGTGATGATGATGGATGCCATAAGTTGCAGTTTAGCTCCTTCAGGGTCAGCATGGCTGGCGGCTCAGACAATCATGCAGCAACTCGCTCAGACCTCAATTTGTAGTCACTGCCAAAGGCAGGGGTGGGAAAGAGCCAATTGAAGGAAGCAGGTAACAGTGACAACAGGTGGCAACCTAGGCGACACTGCATGCAATGGAAATGAATAGGGAGAGAAGGCTGGTCACAGCAAAACCTGGGGGTACCTATTGACACTGAATACAATTAAAATAAATAAGAAGCACTTGACGGACACAAGGGAACGTAGTGGCACTGCTGACCTGGTCGTGCGTGTCTTTAAGTCGCATTGGTAACCAGGAACTGTCAAGACCCGCATTAAAGCATATGCTCAACTAAAATAGCTGTGAGTGAAAGGCCAAATATCTCACTGTCAGTGTTTAAAATGTAAATGTGCTTATAAATTAGCATTAAAAATACAAGGTGGACAAGAAGTCTTCAAGAAAAGTCTGAAAGATTGGCCAGCAAAGGCAGCCTCCATGCTTCTTTAATGACAGGTGTCCTTTGACCTTTCTATCTGTATAAGGTTTCCCAGTCTCTATAAACGCTCCTGGTCGGTGACTCAAAGTTGTGAAACCAGTGGAATGGCTAGGCAACTAACATTTACAAAAAGTCAGCAACGGTAGCCCAATATTTCTTCTTTTTATAAAGGCTTATTTTTAAATCATTTTGGTGCTCTAACTCTTTAAAATAGCTTAATGAAAGCCCATTGTCTAAGGGCTTGTTCACACCAAATGCAGACCAGATCTGCATGAGTTTCTGCACACGCAGTGCCTTGTGCCGCGTTTTTGATGCGTTCCAGGTCGTTTTTGGTAATGCGTTCCATAGCAGGTAAAATAGGGCTTGCTGCAGTTTAACATGCTCTGGAATTGAACGCTGCGGTGTGTGAACTAGAGCCCAAAATACTATTGGAATACATTGGACGCAGTTTTGATACGTCAGTAACTGCTCTGTTCTGCTCCTGGAACGCACTTGGTGTGAACAAGGCCTAAAACATGCAGTATCATAAAGAGCAGCTCTGAAGTCAGTCTACTTTATGTTGACATTTTGGTAGTGACTTACTGAGCCAATATGGTGAATCCTTCCCCCTGTTGGTAAGACCAATTTTATGATTGCAGTAGGTCTGGTAAATAAGAACTCCCAATTAGTATGTACAGCACATTATATCCATATATTTGACCTGATAAAAATGTACTATTCCCAAAACGTTCTTTTGAATCGCCTTTAAAAATCACAAGTATACCTGGCCAATGGCTGATCTGTTTTAGTACCCTTGAGTTAACTGGGCCAACAATTTTGACAAGAGCCATCAGAGCAAACACGATAAGAACTATTAGCCCTAAATCTATAAGCTGGAGTGACTGACATAAGTTGCTTGACCCAACACAAAGTAGGTTTTGAAAGGAAGTCCATCTCTTAAAAAGGTAGACTTTTCAAGATGTAAAAAGTCTACCTATCAGTCTAATATCCAATATCAGGACTAATATCAGTGGAGTCAACTTACTAAAAGGTATTTACTGTAAACGCAATGTAAGTGTCTATCAATGAAGATTTAGGATAAGGAGTGGATGTGCCTGAATTTAGTAGATACAAATTCTTAAAATACAGCAGCACACTGGCAAAAAAAGTGAATCCAAGATTAAATCTTAAATGTAGACGTATCTGATAAAGCTGGACAAGCACTGATTAAGGACAGTTTTTACAGCAAATAGTCCACCTGATGTGAACAAAAAACTAGTATACTATGCATGTCATCATGTACCATACTTGTTAGTAGCTCAAGGTTTACAAACACGCTCACTCTCTCTCCTTGCACTCTTGTGGAGTACCTGGAAGATCCTCTGCTTCTCGTACAACAATATGTGCATTTAGCTCCTGAAGACTATTATGTAACTCTTCTAGCTTTTTATTTGACTTTTTCAAAATATTGTCCACATAAGCCAAGTTCTTTTTATCTGTAGTAACCTTCCGCAGGTTTTCGGCACCTTCTTTGATTTTAAGTTCTTTCCTGATTTCGCGCTTGATTTGATCCTTTATTTCATCCAAGTTTGGCTGTGACATGGGGTCCGAAAAGTCTATTTTCTGATTAATACCCATTGGTTCAGGAGTTAGGTGGCTTCTGGTGTCCTGTGAAATAAAAACAAATCAGTCAGTCAACCTAGAATACAAAAGTTGAGCAAGTTAAACTCCTTGACTCAAACTTGTTACACAGATTACATAAATTAAAAGGCATCACAATTCTATGTAATTAGAAGGCTGCAACAGAGTCCGAAACTTAACCTCTCACTGCTGCACTTTAAGGATCCTCCAATCTATGGAGTAGCAGCATAGCCACCTTTGAACAGCAGTATTGTCAACCTGCGGAGAGGGTAGATGGATGGAAGCTTAACTAAATGAAAAGAAGCCGCCTATTGTAAGTACACGTCAGTGAAACGGTTTGTTTCAAACCTCTACCTGCCACTTTTGTTGTACAGCTTTGTCTGTTGACCCTTTTGCTGCCAATCTCCCCTTTCTAAATCTCAGATGACCAGACCATTTTTCATTTATGGCTTTCAAAGTTGGTGGGGTGAAAAAAAAAAACCCAAACCATAAATTCAAAAAGGAGAATTATGAGGTGAGTGATTTTCACTCCGCCTCATAATCTGAGCCGACGTGTGACAATGAAATAGTCACAGTTCGAATCAGTAGATCGGGAAGTGAGCGAACACATACCGGCGCTCGCTCACTTCTCGATTTATCCGTGCAGAGAGCCGTGAGTGACTGTCACTCACGGCTCCCTGCAATGATTCCCCCCTTCCTGCTCTGATCCCCCAGCGCTGACTGGTGGAACGGACGGGGGAGGGGGCGGGTACAGCTGGCTCTGCCTCTAGATAGGCAGAGCCAGCTGTCACTCACGCAGCTGGGTGGATCCAGACAGAATTGTCGGGATCCGTTGCGGTGTCTCAGTATACCGCGAGCTGTAGCTCGCGGTATACTGAGCTTTGGGTAATGGGAGGACGCTAGTTTGTGTCCTCCCGTTACCCTTAGAACTATGGGGAAAAGCCCTAACCCCATAGTTCTCCTTTAAAAGACTACGTTACACAGTAATTACGTCCCATGATAGTTACGCAGAGGTTTTATCAAACCTATATCTCCAATAAAAATACACAAATTATTAGAGCACACTAAATGCAATAAAAACAACTAAATCGAAAAAGTAAAATTATATTATTGATAATAAAAACTTGTCAATAACAATGTATAACCTTTAAATTCTGTTTTTTGTAAAAAAAAAAAAGAGTGAAAGCAAAACTGTAAATAGCCACTTTAAAGTGAATGTATAGCCAAAACATTTTTTCCTTTCCATGCGCTGTAAGCCAAAAGCCTTGAGGCTGGCTTCACACCTATGTCTTGTGGTAATTCACAATCCGCAGTGCTATTCATTTTGTATGGCACCTCAACGCTAATGAGTTTTCAGGCACAACAACGCATAGCAGCAGCAAGGCACTGAAAAAAGCTTTGTGATTGATTTTGAATTGTGTATGCTGGCATTCTAATATAGATATATATACCTGTAGATATATATATCTATATTAGAATGCCAGCATACATATCTAGATCGATATCTATCTATCTATCTAGATCGATATCTATCTATCTATCTAGATCGATATCTATCTATCTAATACATACATACATACATACATACATACATACATACATACATACATACATACATACATACATACATACATACACACACACTTCCTTAACAGACTATGTCAAAGCACTGAAAGAAAAATACAGACACTGTCACTTTGCTTATTAAAACAGAGGTAGTAACTGCAGGGGAAATCAATGAGTAATGGAGTATTAGTGAATTGCACCCGAATGCTACAAGCAATGTACCCACTCTGCAACCCATCACAACACATGAAATGCATTGTGGTGAGTTACATTGTAAAAAGGAGTCATTTGGGCCCATTCACACTTCCACATGTAACTGGGGGGCGGCTGTGCCATTCATTCTGAATGGCATCCAAATACACTGGCAGCTCATTTATTTTGAATGGGCTGCCTTAATGGAAAAACACGTGGAACAACATGTGACATAACTTTGGTCATTGCACCGCAAAGATATACCATTATAATCTTATATACACCATATAAGATTTTGCCTGCACTGGCAGCCCATTAAAAATAAATGTGTTTCTGCAACACAATGCACCTTAACGCAATCATAGGTGACATTATAAATGCAAAGGCAGGTACTCTCTAATGAGACATAAGGATAAGAAGATGACGAGAGACAGTCCACTGCTGGAACAGAGGGGAACGAGGGGAGAGTTTCCATCACGGGGGGAGGGGGGTTTGGGAGCGGGGACCAGGTAAGTAAATCTACTTGACTCCAGCCCTTGACATAAAAGGGCACAGCCCCACTGTCCCATAAAGCCCACACAGAGAGGTCTGCGTTATTTCATCAGGATGATAAAAGTCTAAAACATGCATCATTTCTACTGTGGGCAGCCTGTGTCTATAACAACATACACAATAATATCACAGCACTTTGTATTCTGCAAAGCTGATGAAACCTTTGAATGAATAATTGATAGTTAGGGATCTCATAACCCAGGTTTCGCATTGCAGTGTAAACTTGCTTACATTTCATCGCAACAACAAAAAATATCACACATCACAAAAACCAGTGTGTCAAACGTATGCGCTTTATGAAATAAAATAGACAACCTACATTTTATGAGTTCAGAATGATCGCCTTGGCAATATCCTTCTCATGGTAGCTGTCAGAAATCATGCCCATACGTTAAGTCTGGGCCCCTGGACAACTACAACAGGGTCTACTGTTCAACATATCACACTATGGCAACCTGTACCTGACTCTGGCATTACCTCTCACAATGTAGCGTTAAGCTACCATCGTGATTGGGCTTGTGTATGGATCTAAATATTGTCTTGCAGGCTTAGTTTAAAGATGTATTTTTTCTTAAGTTTAAATTTTAAAGTTCTGAACGAGTGCTGCCAAAGAGCAGGCACCACTAAACACAGCAGACGAGTTTGGTGTGAATGGGTCCTCAGTAGGAGAAAGCTAAAGTGAAACTAACCCACAGAATTGGATTTTTGGATAACATAATGTTGGATATCTTGTACTGTCTGCCGTTAAAGTGATATTAAAGTTGAAATGTTTTTAAGCCATTTCAAATCCTGATTAAGTCACTTACAATGGATTCTGCTCCCTGTTTAGTTTTAGTTTCCTGCAGAATCAGCTGGTCCCCTGATCACTGGTCCCGATATCCTGTTTAAGGGCCATTCACAGCACATCCAGATTACCTCCAGACCAGACCGTTTCCGCACCCAAAATGCATCCCTATGCTATTTCTGGCCTCCGTTTTGTCTTGACTGTAATGCACTGGAACGCATAGAAATGCATTAAAAATGCATGGAACGCACCTGAAAGCCCATTTTAAGCAAAAAAACACAAACTTCAGAACGTGGCAAAAACTCTGTAAAAACGCAATGCACTGTTCCAGATCTGGTCCAGAAAATGGTGTGAACCCAGCCTAAGGGCTTGCTCACACCATGTCCAGACCAGCAGTTTGTTCCCAGAACAAAAAAGCATCCCAATGTATCCCTATGGTATTTCTGGGCTCTGTTCACACCAGCGCAGCCCGTTACGGACCAGACATAAAAGAATACTGCTAGTCTCATTTTCTCTGGTCTGGAATGGACTGGAAAGCATAGCTTAAAATGTGCATTTTTTTATGCATTTCTAAGAAAAAGTGAATTAGAGTATTAGTCATACTCTTATGCACGGTTTTGTGCACTCAGGACGTCAGTGTTTGTTATCAGTATGAGGTCAGGCAGTTGGCAAAGCAGCAACTATAAGACTTCAGGTGATAACGTAAAGGTCCTCTATTGATAAAAAAAATATAGATGTTATTTTTGCCCAGACTTGCACTTTAAGACCGCATAAGCCCAATCATTACTGGTTCTCTAAAAATTATAAATGCGGAAGCTACCTTATGATTTATACTTGTCCACTAAATTTATTTCCAACATACTCTATGCAATTATTCTAGACTTTAAAAAATTGCTGGAAGATGGCATGTCTCTTCTGCAGCCTATGTGCAATGCAGTGTGCACTCCCCACATACACAAGAGTTGCATCATAAGTGGCCAACCAAGGGCGGAAGAGGAGCAATGGGAACCTGTAATTAGCGGTGTAGGAGGATGGGAAAATGAAGGACAACTGACCTGTCAGTAAAGGGCAAACACGGAGGTGAGTCTACCAAAATTTGCAAGTAAGCATAAGGCTTCAGATGGATTCAAATAGCTGACAGAGAAGCAACTATTGGACCCCCTCTGAGGCTTCTTAGCTCCGATTCTTAGCTTATCCAGTGACAGCAAGTGATGCTAAATAAAGGGAAATAAAAATCTTTCAATGACAAGTCTGCAGAGTTGTAATTAAAAATTTAAATTCTTACATTAGCCCCCTCATGACCAGTTTTCCAAGGTAACATCATACAACCCCCCCCCCCCCCCCCTTAAACAACAAAAACTCACACACCCGCACAGAC